CATGCATCTAAACGAAGCACAGCAGAGAGGAGTCGAGTTCCTGCGCTGATGATGCCGCGAAGTTCAGCTCATACAATGGGATGGAACCCCGACGAACATACCCCTCAGCACCACAGGGAGTGCTAGTTCTGGAGATACGTTTGCAGGTACAAATAAGCATGTATGCGACTAATCTTACAGACCGCGTGCCTCGCGATGTGCGACGCAAATCTCTTCATGCTTCTTTAACTTTCGGACACCGACGCACTGGGCCGTATTCGTGCAATTGAGACCCCCGAGAGTTCCAACGGCTGGACCTGCCGACGGATGAATTAGGCCCACCCCACGGCCGACGGAACGGGGGTCGAGACCGCTCTAGGTCTTCATAGACCCGGGTGGGGCACTCTTGACACGGCGACGCTGAGCATGATGGTAGCTGCAATAGACGCGACCTGGCAATCCAGAGCGATGAAGTATCATGTGAAGTTTGATACGAGAGGAATACGACGAAAGCCGGGGCACAACCCTCAGCTGACAATGGAAAAAAAGAGTCTGTAGCAGGGTGTTACGAGGCGTGATGAAGAGGGTCTCGTCCGAGTCACTTCCTTTGCAGCTAGGAATCGATATCCATTACGCCTAGAGCTGGCGCGGCTGCGGCTGCGGCTGCTGAGAGGAGTCATTGAGCAGACTCATCCGTCAGCTGGCATTGCCAGCATGACTGATTCGTGGCATTCATAGCCCCGTCTCTTCGGCGTTGCGCGTGGCGGGCAAGGACTCAGTTCAACGCCCCGGTTCAAGCCTGACAATGCGTGTATTCCCGCATCCCCTGGCAGCTTGGCACCGTGAGTGAGAAGTGCGGGACCGGTTCACAGTAGTTATGCGAGGAAATCCGCTCGGTCGGGGCCCGACGTGCAGGTGGGCAAGCCACATTGAAGATCGGCATGTGTGGCTGGAATATACCTCGGTATCTGTGAACCAGAAATGCTCTTTGGGGACCACCGGCCATGGGTGGCCTGTCTCTCTCGTGGTTGAGCCACTTCACTGAGACGAGAGCACGAGTCACAAGTTCAGAGCAAACACGCCTATCCGAGGACGCGGGGGTGTACATTATAGGGAGGCAGATATAGTGGACCGGAATGATGACCGAACGTGGTCGTCAAGAATGCATAGCAAACAGCACTGCCTGGCCACATCTCAGCTTGCAAGTTGCGGCGTGCTGCCAACGTCCTCACACCACTATTGCCATGCTAAATAACTGGTGGATACGTCGGACTATTACGAATAACAAAAGGCTAATGGCAGATCACCATGCTGTTCAAAGTGATGGCGGTCAGGCATGGCTCCTAGCAGTGCCGACGCATTCGAGCTGTTTTATGAGATGCGTTGCGAGAAAATAGATTATCACCTGAACAAAAGTTTTGCGGACTTGCAGTGATGCATAGCCGTAGCGTTGTAAGGTACCTAAGATAACGTGATTGGACGACGGAGGACAATTGTGCAAGCGAACCAAGATCCTGTTCCGTTGCTGTTTACTATGACGTTGGCTGTAAACTCTAAGTGGTTCTCATATTGAGCGTCAGTCAAACCTCATCTAGATGGATCGGTTAGTAGGTAAGGTTTGGAATGCTTACTTTCGCCAAAGCCGATACGTGCCAATGTGCCATGAGCAAGGCACGCAAGGTTAGGGACAGAGAGGGAGCCCGCCACCAGCCATCAGCCACCAGCCACCAGCCATCAGCCACCAGCCACCAGCCACATGATAGGTACGTTGAGGTGCTGTTGGGTTCACCAGCCTGGCCAGTTTGTTCTCCAATTACTAAGGTAAGGGCCACTGTGAGACCACGGGATATGACATCATCTGCGAGGTACGTCGTTCCAACGAGAAGAGGAACAAGTGGTAGCTTCTGAACATGAAACGTTGCGATCATTTGTCATCGACAGAGGATGTTAGTCAAGATGCCGATGAGAAAGATGTACCGTATTGTTGCACATTTTCGACGATGTAATGCAGTGTAGGCAAAAATATACCTGTATGGCGTCCGGTCCGTACCTTACCTTACTTGCCTATTCCCCCAGCTTTCTCGTAGAGCACTGCCGCACTGGAGTGCGCTCGAAGTGCGCGAATGGGAGATGGCGCATCGACAGGGGGGCCGATCGGGCATTCGTTCTACCCAGGTATGGAATCTCCGCTTCGTTTGTCGACAGCGTGTACCTGCAGACAACAACCACGAGGCCGAGGCCAGAGAGGAGGTGCACTGCATAATTAGAAAGCGCCAGTCCCTACGGACAAGTGAATTGACACATCGACACGTTTCGTGATTGGGTGGCTTATCTCGGCTTGAACAAGACGGACAGTTGCGCGCTGAACCGCTGGTGTGGCAGTGTGGCTGAGCCCGATGCCTTTGACCAATGAGTGCAGTGCACCTGTAGGATGGAAGTACCTATCCGCACAGGTGGTCTCGCTCTTTTTTTTCTGCACTCTTGTCTCGCGGGCCCTCGCTTCGCGGGGTTCTCCCCTTTGGACCGCGGGGCACGAGCGACATTCTCCCTCCGTCCTCCGAGGCTTCGCCGAAGAGAAATCCCAAGAAATGTTTTTTTGCCGTCCCTTCCCCCTCACCCATTGCATTTTAGAAAAACCGGCACAGACTGAGGTCATGGCATTTTCGCCTCGAACCCTTGTTCCCTGTCTGGCCGCGCCCACCAAACACTCCCATCACACCCACATGAACAACCATGATCCAGCCCGACAGGACCCTTCCAAACATGCAGCCTTCGTGGGGCCACGGCATGGTACAAGCGACCGGTGCAGCGAGCATGGAAGCGATCTTCGTCCCCCCTCACTCTTCCCTGAACCGGTCCGCCCACCCTTGACCATCGGCGTTTGCCCGCCCGGGTGGGCTGGCACAGCCGGAAACTGCGCAGTCACGTAGTGAAGGAGCTTCGGTAAGGATGCTGCTGTGGGTTCTTGGATGACATCCATCGCTGGCAGGCCAAAATCTCGGATAATAGTCATTGCCATTGCATGTTATAAGTGTCAGTGCTTGATCACATACTGTGTAGAGGTCAGGTTATCGCAACCAGGTGTGGGCATGTCTACCTCAGGTAGGTGCCTACAAGATATGGTACTAGGTAAGATGTATACTCCGTCCGGATATGCATACACTACTTGGGAAAGGAGCTTGGAACTGGAGATTCTTATCTAAATTCTCCCCACCTTGTGTCGGTCACCTTGAACGAGGAAATGGTCGCTGACGATCAATCGCCTGTGAGAGATAAAGCCTGCAAGCACAGTGACGGATGGCCCGTGTTGGTCCAGGAATAAGATGCATCCGTGTGGCATCATCGAGGGACTCTGGGATATGTAATGCATAGTTGTAACGTGGTAAAGGTGTGCATACCTACGCATTGTGTGCGTTCCAGCATGTCATCGGGTGGGCCCACCGGGCACCCCATCGACCCTTTCCACTCTCCTCACAGTGACACAGTAAGTTCTGCACCGCGGGAATCTACGACCAAATGTGGGAGGTATCGACTAAGGTCCTGCGCCTTGGGTACGGAGAGTACCATACCTAATACTGCCACTGCGTAAGTATGAGCCTGTGAGGTAGGTAGGTTACGTAGGTAAGCCTCTCCGATACAATAAGGTAGGTTCGGTTCTCTCAAATCCATACCTGCACAGGAGTGACAGGATACAGAGTTAGGTGGCTTAGGTGATTAGATACCGGTTCTTACTAAGGTAAGGTATGTGCCATGGCGGGGAGCTTTGAGACCTCAGTGGTCCCGACACTTCGCCCTACGTCACTCCACCAGCCATCGACGGGATTATCGATGTCGTTCCGTCGCCAGAATGGAGTCCACCTACGTCTTGATCGCTGTTTCTCATGACCCTTTGAGTGCAACCACCCGCTCAGCGCAGCATCAAGCGCAAGCCTAGCCAACAACCTGCCTAGTCTTGAGTGTCCTGTCTGCGAGCCTGCGAAGGGGTCCTTGGGGGTGAAATCGAACGAGAGCAAAGTCTGTCTCATCGATTTTACTTCCGTGCTATCTCCCGCCTCGCATCTTCCCGCCTTGTCCGTCTCGCTCAACCCACTGTGCGTGAGTGCCACGACCAATGTTTGTCTATGGTACGGAGTATGCTCACTCATCATTTGTTAAGTTGAGGGTCCAAGCTGGCGAAATCAATCGTATGCGGTGCTGCGGACAATATACTTGTTGGGTGAATGACAATGATCCCAACCCCAAGAAACTTCCAGAGGTTTCGAGCAGGGCCCTCGTCACCTCCATTGCACCGCTGTACCTACCTTACGCTGCCTCACGCTGCATTGCAAATGCAAATTGGTGGTCTATTGCCCACACTCGCTTTCTGCGTATCTACCTTACCTACCTTGCTCCGCCTTACTGCGTGCGCACCACACTGGGCCATGGCTGTTCTCGATCTGTCTTTCCATCATGTGACTCAGTTTACATCCGCGTCAGCTGTTTAGTAGTCCGTTGTTGGGAGCACACTATTCCGTCTGCCTGCGGCCAATTCAGCGACGTCCCGCTGGTTCCTTCTGCGTTAACTCCGGATGATTCGGTTGTCGACCTCGGCGCACTTCCTTTGCTGCCTTTTACTACTCCGTGCATTGCTCACATGATGTGCATCCAAAGGCCAAGGTAGGGAAATGTCAGCCAGTACCTAGGTATGAATTACGAATATACGCCTTGCCTAGATTCGAGGGCAATGCCGAGAGAGCCTTTCTCGCGCTTTTTGCTTGCCCCATGCGTGTCACATTGCAAGTGCATTATTCAAGCAACTGCTTGCTCGCTAGGCTGCTTAATGGAGACAAAAACTCAAAACCCCCGGTTGGGCTGTTGTCGGTCTTGAGGGTTCCTCGACCTTCTAGCAAATGGAATCGAGGAAAAAAAAAATGCAAGGACTCATACCGCATGTTCTTGGTCGACTTGGTCATCATCCCACACGCCTAAAAAAAATTTCTCCCTGTCCCCCCCCCCCCTTCCGGGCCCTCCCCTTCCTGCATCCAGACCTTAAGGTGTTCTCCCCGGTCCCGATCCCTAGGTCCCCCTGTAACCCTGCTCTACTTACCACACTGATCCCATCCCCGGGACCGCCAACACAACTTGTCCAAGCCTCGGGTCCTCCACCCGGTACCTCCGCTCTTCGTCCGCGTTGCGAGGAGCGGTACGTACCTACAGCGCGCTACCTTACCGCACACCCTGGCCCCTCCATTCTAAGGTACCTAAGCCCCATAACCCTCTGGTGTACGTACCTGGCCAGCTACCTCATTGCAAGTCCCCTACGTAGCTACCAACCCGCTGCCTCTCTTTACCTTAGTCTTTCCATCCTTATAAGTCATCGTCCCTCCATGGTTTGCCACTCACTTTACCTCTCCTACCATCACACCTACAAAATATCCAAACTTCTTAACTACCACACCATGCTGTTGACTCGACCCACTGCTTCACAATCAATCCAGCAACATCAGCAACAGCAACAATACCAACAACATCACTCCGACTTACACCACCAGTATCAGACACAATCACAGCAATTCTATCCTCACTCGATCGATTTTGACCTCGAAGCCTCCTTTGACGACACTGCTCCCGACCTCACCTCGTCGAGTATTACCTCGTCTCCGCTCTCGACTCAATCTTTCCTCCCCTCCCATTATTCTCTGGCAAATAACTCGGCAAGCCTTGCAAGCTACGACTCGTCCCACCTGGCCGTCCCAAGACGATCGGCGACAAGCACTTCAGGCTTCGAAGACTCTGCCTTGAACCACAATAATCAGCATAACCTCATGCAGTCAGACGCTTGGATTCTCGGGAATCAGTACGCTCCCAAGACCGTTGGTCGACTACCTCATCAGCGGGAGTCATCTTTGTCTTCGCTCGGTTCAGCCGGTCCCGCGTCACCCTTCAGTCACAGCACAACGAATCCCCAAATCGCGGTTACAGATTCAACACCCGACGGTCTGTACGACATGCAGACCCACGACGGTAATGCTTTCTACCAGCTGTCCAACAAGTCAATGGCGGTGTCTCACGACAACATGTATCCCAACTACAACGGATTGCAGAATATATCGTCGGATATGGCTGGCTACGCCTCAGCTTTGAATGTTCAAAGACCACGATCTGACCGTGGGTTATTACCTGCGCCTGAACTCTCTATGGCTGGTAGCAGATCCCACCCAAATTCTGTGGCAAGCTCCATTGCTGGGGACTCACCCGCAACACCATCACATCTCGAGCACGAAGATGATAGGCGGCGGAAAGCTGGTAAGCAATCTTCCATACAAATGCCATTGAATATAGGCTTACTCAATACTTTCGACACAGTCTTCAGCAACGTACCCAAGCTAGACCGCACAATGACAGACATCTATAATGATGAACTATATAGCCCCAACTTCACCATTACCTCGGCAGCTCCGGCCCAAAACCAGATGGCTGTATCCCCTAGCAATGACGTGTTCGCGCAACGACTTAGCGCTGCAAACAATCAGCACCTGAGTGCAGCACAGTCGCCAGTCTCTAGTGTGTCACGCGACCGTTCGCCATTCCGTCAGGGCTCACCGTTGGCACCGATGCCTAGTCATGACTTTGGTGGAGGTGTCCAGGCCTCTCGCCTACGATTCAACTCGGCCCACCAAATTCGGGAACAGAAGAAGGCGGAGCAAGATGCACAAATCATGCGACAACAAATGTCCGTAAAGTCGGAGCCGGAGACCCCTAAAACCATCTCCCCAAAGGACGCCATGCTCGAGTTCCACGACGGCGATGCTGAATCATCATTTTCACTCTTTCCATCCCAGGAGACGGTGGATTTTGAAGACATTGCAAAGGCAGTGGTCACGCAAGACCAGCAGGTCAATTTTGCCAGGTCTGCTATACAAAATGGGGCAACGTTCCCTTATATGCCCGCTCAGCTTCAGACCGCTGTCCACATTCCGCAGCAGTACCCGTTCATTGCCCATCCACGACAGTCTCATGAGCAGATTCCTCGACTTAGCTCTGCCGAGTCAAGCACTGGGGGATCTGATGCTACTTCGACTTCAAATGCGGCACCGATATCCAAGCCTGTGGGTGCTACCGCTGACGGCGGCACTTACACTTGCACATACCACGGCTGCACCATGCGATTCGAAACCCCTGCTTTGCTGCAAAAGCACAAGCGCGAGGGGCATCGGCAGACTCAGGGTATTGGGGGGCCTAGAAGGCCTGAAGCAGTTGCCACATCCCCCGACAGCATGCTTAACAGTCAAGCCGGACCTCACCGCTGCGATCGCATCAATCCTAGCACGGGCAAACCGTGCCACACAATCTTTTCACGCCCGTACGACTTGACTCGTCACGAGGATACTATTCACAATGCGCGGAAGCAAAAGGTGCGCTGTAATCTTTGCACCGAGGAGAAGACGTTTAGCCGTGCCGATGCGCTCACGCGACACTACCGAGTCTGTCATCCGGATGTTGAATTCCCAGGCAAGCACCGACGCCGAGGGCATAATGTCTGAATGCGCCACGTCGTACACTGGCAATAACACATAGCTCGGATGGTTTCTTCTTCGCGGTGTCTTTGCACCGGCAACAGCATGCGTCGTCTCCGAACATGAGGAGCAAGTCAGGGATGCGGGGAGGTCGGGCGAATCAACAAGGGTGGAAATTCAGGGTCCTCGATGGTGCAGTAAGGGTCGTGCAACATGACATCACATAGTCCGTGCACAGCGACCCTGACGATCCATATGACCCGCAATGACATCATTTTCCGCTCTCATTCCCAACTAGGTTCATATTGCCAGACGTCGTGCAACTTGCCCGACTCCACTCAACGACATCATCATGAGCCTTGGCATCATCATCCACCTTCGCCTGAGTCCGTCAAATCGGGAATTGATGGGACGTGCTGGGAAGGATGGATGATCATGACGCTACATCACCTACGTCCCTGCCACAGGCTTCTTCCCATTTGAGCGATATGGACGGCCCCGACCAGCCCCGATTCAAAACTTGTGGTACTCTACCCATATGATGCAATCTATGGCACTTGAGTATGGATCTGTCCGGGACTTGTGCATCTTGACCGTCTCGAGCAGTAGCGTTCCTTTTTCAACTTTTAATTTACTTGATTCTTGCGATGATTTTGGGATTGGCGGATAAGGAGCAAGTTTTTCACATCTCTCATTCTCCTAGAAGGCGATTACGCATGAAATATTGTACATTATGGTATCATGGTCCAAGTCGAGACCGCAAGGCTAGATAAAAAAAAAGGGTGGGAAGGGAATGGGACGCCCAAGGGCACGCAGGCGTCGTTGGTTTTTACGAATGTGATGATGAGGGAGGAATGATGCATTATAGAAGTATTAATATGTACAACACCATCCCCACGATGATTCCGTGCCCCTCTTTGACCTCACCAGTGAGTGTTACGGTATAAACGGCCGCTAATTGGTTGAAAATATCAGAGATGGATTGCAGACTATGTTCCTTCACGACGATGCTCAGCTCAGATATACACTTTCTATAAAGGCATGCACTGTGTTTTACAACTTGAACATCAATTCGCCAGCTCTAAGGTGAAGTTTCAAAGTCTAGTTATCTATTCAGCAACTAGGTCTATATGGTTGATGCTAGTCCCTACAGCTCCTTCTTTTACTCCAGTACCCATAGGTAGACAGACAAGGCACCAATGATATCTGGCACGCATGTTCAATGGTCGGCTCCTGCTGTGTGCCCTAGCCATCTTACGCCGCTTCCTCGCCCAAGACGGCTGCGCGAGCGGTCTGGTAGAGAGGGGTGATATCCGTCCATTTCTGGAACTAAATTGAATCCAAGTTAGCTGCCTATGTCACATTCATCTACTTGGGTGCCACGTTTCCACCGTCCACAAATATCCACTTACCTGATACCAGCCCTGAGCTGAGAGCACCTCGAGGCCAGGGATGGTCTCCCACCCGGCGTCCTCGGCCAATTGCATCAGTGGTGTATGACGAGGCTGGTAGGCCATCTCAAGAAGGACGCGTTTCCTAGCGACTGTCGTGTCTTGACGCAATACCGCCATGAGAGTTTCTCGGAGCGAGGGATCAACTGGCTTGTCGGCAGGGATCGTGCTGATCATAACGGTAGGCGAGGATGCTAGTGCAGGAACTTCGCTGGCATTCTTGAGAGCTTCGATGCGATAATCTGAGGGGAACGACGCCTTCAGGGCTTCCAGATTGCCACTGTTGCGTGCTAGAGCGTAGATAGGCCCGAAGCCAAGTGCGTGCAATGCGAAGATGGCAGCTCTTGTTGTTCCACCTGAGCCAATAACGATGGCAGAAGACTGAACGTCTTCTGTCGATTGGGACGAAACACCTGCCGACTGAAGAGAGTGAACCATACCTGACCAGTCAGTATTGTCACCGATGAGCTTAGCCGTGTCTCCGCCGGTTGATACTGGGATGATGGTGTTGACAGCGCCAATGATGCGAGCAGCCTCCGAGACTTCGTCAATTTCTTTCATGATGTCGAGCTTGAGCGGGATTGTGACGGAAGCGCCGCCAAAGTCGGGAGCTCGGATCAACTCGCGTACATCGGCTGTGTCAGTCGTTTCTTTGCGCAGGTAATGGTGCGGCAATCCGACCAGATCGAACAGAGTATTGTGCAGAGCAGGTGATCTCGATGCTGCGATGGGGCTACCGAAAAGATAGTAGGTTTGCGGGTTGATGTCACCAAGCAACGCCAAAGCTTGCCGGATCTCAGCCGCGGACAACTGCCCCGGGGCTGCTTTGAATGGCAAACTGGGATGGGAGACGGGGGTGAGGCAGCCGTTCAGGACACGGCTGAGCTTTCCAGCTTGCCCCATGTTCAGCGCAATGATCGGGACTTTGTGCGAAGACAACATCTCCAACTTGAATTGGGCTAGGTCATAGTTGTCTTCGATTCGTTTGGCGACACCGACCAACTTGATCACGTCACCCCATTGAAGGGCCTTGTTGTAGAAGGGGATCCAAGAACCATTCTTCCAAGATAAGTTGCCCTGGGGATCATGGTGGGAGGCAATGATACGCGCAGGTCCCTTGTTCTCCACAACTGCTCGAATGACTCGCTCTGGAAGAGTCATCTCGACATCGATGAACTCAACCCCCATGCGAATTGCCTTTTGGTACAGACCAAGGGCTTGATCATGGGCGTCATCAGGGAACTTTCCGCCCTGAGACAGTGTGCGCAGAGTGAAGATAATGGGCACGTCTGCCACCGATCTAAGAAGCGCAACCTGGTGTGCAACGAACTCCTCAGAATAGTCCTGGAGCAAGTCCACGCGGAGCTCCACGGCGTCAGAACCGACCACAACAGCCGGTATCAGAGTGAGAGCTGACGCAACCTCTGGTATCGTAAGGGAAACAAAGAAACTGGGATTCTTCGCCAGTGCCTTATTGACTTGTATCTGCTCTCCGCACAGAACATTGACGAAGCGGCGAAAGTCTAGCGGCGGCTCCCGTGTGGCCAATGTTCCTGGAGGATGAGGGCTGAAGTACTCAAAGTTGCTGCACTGCTCGAAGAAGGGCTTCCGGCGCCAGTAGACATCTTCAATGTCTTCTCTGTAGGCCGGTCTTGATTTGTCCTGTAGAAGGTAGTCGACGACTTCCTTGGTATTACGGTGGACGAGTAACACAGTGCCGTTGTTCTGGCAATGAGCAACAAGCAGTTTCCGAGCTTCAGGAGTCTCTACAATGCCGCCGCCGCATGAGAAAATATACCCGTGGCTCTGTTTCTCCAGGACATCCCGGAGAAGCTCAAGCTCGTCGCTTCTGAAGCCTGCCCATCCTTTGGAACCTCTGATCATCTCCGGAATTGTCATGCCTGACCGCCGTTCCAGCTCCTCGTCTAAGTCGATAAAAGGCCTCTTGAGTGTCGCGGCCATCCATCTTCCCGCAGTCGTCTTGCCTGCGCCACGCATACCAATAATGACAACAGACTTATCCTTACGAGATCTTGTGGGAAGTCCCGTAGCCACTGACTTGGGGTGCTCGTCAATGCCGTCAAGCTCAATGTTGAAGAACTGCGACATGGTGTCCCACCAACCTGGCCATGTCTTGCCAGTGCATTCCCTCTCAAGAATCGTCACAGGCTTGGGGGATACCACTGAAAGAACGCTGAAGCTCATGGCGACGCGGTGATCGTCGTAGCAATAAATACTTTCGGTAGGCTGCTGAAGCCCCTGCACGGCGCGGCCGGTGACGATGATCCCGTCGTCAAATTCGTCGGTCTCAACGCCAAACTTGGCTAGTTGCTCGCGCATTGCTCCGATGCGATTGCATTCTTTCACGCGTTGATTGGCGATGCCGCTTATCTTGGTTGTTCCGGATGCCGCAGCTGCTAGGACGGAGGCTGTGAGAAAAGCGTCTGTCATAGGTTCCATATCGACATGCTCAATCGCCTTGAGACCGCCAATGGGCGGGCCTGTGACAGTTGTCGAAGTTCCAGTCTGCTCGACCGTGCATCCCATAGGTCTCAGCACGTCAACAGCAAACCGAGAGTCGCCCTGAAGTGACTCTGAACCAATGTTGGGCACAGTACAGGTGGTGCCGGTAATGGCTGCAATAGCCAGGGGGTATGTTGCGGAACTGGCATCACTCTCCACGACGTACTCGGCTGGGTTTTGGTACACCGCCTTCGGAATGTGGTAAGTATTGGGCTCCGTTGTCGATTTCGTGACGTTCACGCCGAAGGTCCGCATCATCGAGACGGTCATATCAATGTAAAATTGTGATATGGGCTTTCCGCCTACGAGTCGCAGGGTGACTGGATTTTTCGCGTAAGGTGCAGCCATCAGAATTGACGACACATACTGCGATGAGATAGTAGCGGCCAATTCTATGACACCGCCCTCAAAGCCATTGGCAGCATCCACCTGGAGAGGAAGGCTCTTCTCTTGCCCGAGGTACTTGATTCCCAACCCATTGGCCCTGAGAGCATCGACCAGAGGACCAATTGGACGAACTTTCATGCGAGCGTTGCCGGTAAGTACTGTGGAAGACACTCCGGACGGCGCACAAAGAGCCACAACAGTCGTCAGGAATCGAGATGCGGTACCAGCGTTGCCAAGGTACAACGCCTCTTTGCTAGCATTGAGCTCGCCGCCTTTGCCTTTGACAGCCAGCACCTCCCCGGCATCTTCCCAGGCGTATGTTGCTCCCCCAAGCTGAGCAATGGCTGACAACATGTACTCTGTATCGTCAGAATGCAGCAGGTTCGTGATCCGGCACGTTCCCTGCCCGAGAGCGGCGAGAACGAGGGCGCGGTTGGAAATAGACTTGGAGCCGGGGGGCGTGACTATGGTGCTGTGAGACTTCGGCATGCCAGGTATGACCTGAGTTGCCGATGATAGGACTACCCTGATGACGTGGTCTTGGACTACGCTGGCTTTTAGTTCGTGGGTCTTTCCGATGGCGGAGAGGAGCACAATCTTCTTTTTGGCTCCATCATTCTTCTTGTCAACCGCCATTTTCTCCAACAGCACGTCAACGGGGCACTTCTTGCCTGCTGTCAGCTTGATAACCTTCTTGTCGTGTACCGAGATGGGAAGCTCGTAGCTCGCAATGCACTTGACAAGTCGTGCTACAGCGCCAGGACGAAGCACGCCAAGGAAGCGGGCCAGTTCTGCCTCCTTGACCATGCCAATAGCGACAGCCTCTCCATGAAGAAGCTGAGGTGTCAACAGGGCTTCGTAGGCGTGACCAATAGAATGTCCGAAGTTGAGCAGATTTCTTAAGCCACCTTCTCTTTCATCGCTGGAGACAACTTCAGCTTTGACTGAAGCAGAGCCAAGGACAATTCGCTTGAGAATGTCTCGAATGGGTGAAAGTCTCTTTTCTCCCTGGGACTTGACAGCAGCCAGTATAGCGGGTGCGTTGGTCTCGAGTGCGGTGAACTCATCCTCGCTCCAGATGGCGGCCGTCTTGATGACCTCGGCCATGCCATTGATGAACTCCCTCGCTGGCAGCGTCTCGAGGAAGCTCAGGTCGATATAAATACGGAACGGTTGCCAGAAAGCACCGATAAGGTTCTTGCCCATTGGAGTGTCAATGGCAGTCTTGCCACCAATGGATGAGTCAACCATAGACAACAGCGTCGTCGGCACCTGTACAAAGCGAATGCCCCGCATGAAAGTGGCAGCGACATAGCCGATCATGTCGCCAATGACACCGCCGCCCAGAGCAATGATAACCGTGTCCCTCGTGCATTTTTGCAACAACATCCAATCTTCAATGTCTGCCTTGGTCTGGCGGCTCTTTGAAGCTTCGCCGGGCGGGATTGCGTACGTGAGCAGTCTTGCCGAAGCAGGCGCGGCGGCTTCAAAGACCTTCTGAAAAGGCGGGACGTAAGTATCGAAGAGGTTCGTGTCGGTTATAAGGGCGTAGGTCGATGATTTGAGATGATGGAGGAGATCCTGAGTCACGAAGTCAAGCCAGATGCCGTGATCAACGACAATATCGTCTTTGCCCAGGATCGTGATCCGGGTCGGGCCTGAGCCCGAATCTGGGCCATTGACCAAGCCCATGATCGATGGCAGCAGATGTGAGGGTGGAAAGTCGTTATTTACTTAGAGCTCTTGCACATCGGGTTGGTCTCTGTCGTGGAGTTTGCAACGGTAAGTGAATTGAATACGTTAAATGTGCAAAGACTCGCGGGTGCGCCTACCTCATGTGGGCGTAGGGCGGTGCATGGAGCCAGTGACTCTTCCCAAGAAGACTCACCTTTTTTTTTTTTTTTTTTTTTACGACATCGGACAAGGACAATTGGCGGGGGCGGGGATGGCACGAGCAGGGATCAGGAACGGCTCTTTTATTGCGGCTTAGTGGATTCAGATGCCGCCTATACCGGAGCTGCCGAAAGAGTATGACTCTGCGGTGGTTCTCCTTGGATGGTATTTTTGAAGCCCCGGGGTCTGAGCACTCAGACTTCCTCAGAGCACGGAGACGACAGGGTCCACAGAAGTCGCTGGTGTGCATTTTGCCGAAGTGGCCAGCCACGTGTGGCTGGCCCGGACCTGTCTGTGGCGCTTTTCAGCGACCTTAATAAGCGAGGGCAGGTTACTTAAAAAGAGATATTTATTTAAGAGATAAAAAAACCTTTATAAAATAAATAAGGGCCTCCCCCAACGAAGCAATCCGCCAGGGCCGTACTATATATTATATTTATTTAGTTAAAAAACGCTTTTTTTATTATTTATTATTATTATTAAATTATTTACTTTAAATTTATATTATTAAGATACTAAGATATTTAAAAACTATTAACTTTTAGGGCTTTTTTAATAATTAGAAGTTCGATTTTATAAGTATTTTTTATATTACTTAGCTTATTATTAATAAGTAACTAAAGAGTAGCTTATTTTTTTAAATTAAATAACAGTTTTTAAATTGAAATTATTTATTTATTTTTAATTCTGTTTTTATAATCGCTCAGGTAGTTCTTAATATTAGTTATATAGTATTAATATATAATATTAATAAATACTCTTATTATTTTATTAAACTATTTTTTATAATTTGTTTTTATTTTTTTAACTTTTTTATAAAGTTTATAACTATAAGTTAATAGCGATATTAAGCACTAATACTACTACTTTATAAACTTATTTTATACCTAACTAAAATTAAAATTATTATATTATATTAAGTACGTATTTATAATATATTATATAATAGATTTTTTTAATTTTATAAGTATAAAAGGCCTCTAGCTATTATAATAATTTACTAGGAGCAATTATTAATAAAAGTATAATTATCTTTTTTATAATAACCGCCTACTTATTACTACTTTATTAATAACTAAAAATAGGGCGCTATTAAGTATAAAGCGCCCTAAGTTTATAATATAAACCTAAAATAATAGCTTTTATATTTAAATGATAATAGGTTACATTTAAAATATAAAACTTAATAAATAGAGCTAAGCTTATTAAGTTAAGTAAGATAATTTATATTATAATATATATTATTTATAATATTAAATAATAGAATTATTATAATAAAATAAATAATTTAAAATTTAAAGACTTAAGATATAGAGAGATATAAGATAAGAGGAGGATATAAAAAAGGATTCATTTATTATTTAATAACTCGATCTCGTTAATAAATAGATCTCTTATATTTATTTTAAAGGTATTAAGGTTTTATAAAGTATATTAATACGTCGGGGTATTTAATATTATATTTAAAGATATTTATAGTATATTAGTTATACTATAAATAATCTAATATAACGTGGTTAAAAGTTTAAAACTATAGTAGTATAATTTTAAATAGCTCTAATTTTAATAATATTATTATATACTGTTTATAATTATAACTAAATAATTAACTTTATAAGCCGTTTACTTACTTAAGTATTATATTATATAACTTTTAAAATAAGTAGTTAATAATACGGCTGGATATATAGGGTGCCTTTTTAATAAAAGCTTTATAGATATTATAAAGTATTATTATAATTTTTAATTTAATAAAATACGTATATATTAGTATATACTACTAAAAACTATATATAAAAATATACTTATATAGAGTAAGCTTTTTATATACGTAGTATGTAAAATAAAATAAAACTAAATAAGTACTTAATAATACTATTTGGTTTTATTAATACTTTAATAACCTTTAAAACTATATTAATACGGTGCTTAAAAAGATTATTTACTTTTTATTCTACCTTTACTACTCGCTCGGGCAGTTCTCGATATCGGTTATATAGTATTAGTATATAGTACTAGTAGGTACTCCCACTATCTCGTTAAACTATTAAAAAAAGATTATAAATAGTTTTTATATAATGTATTTAGATAATATCCTAAATTTTTTAAAATAGAGTTTTTATATTAAATAGTTTTTATAAATTATAAATAAGTTACAAAAACGTAGTTCTATACTAATATTTTTAAGTATACTTTTATAAAAAGAAGTTAAATTCTTAGGGTTTATTTTATTAATAAAAGAAGTTTTTATAGCCCTTAATAAAATAAAAGCTATTTTAAAATAGTTTTTACTTATTATTTATAGAAAAGTTTAAGTATTCTTAGGATTTTATTTTATAATTATTATTAAAAATTTATTTATAAATATTTTAAAATTATTAAACTTTTATAAATCTTTTTAAGGGTAGTAAAAATAAAAATAAATTTTTTTTATTTAAATTATAATATAATCTTAGCTTTTAATTTTTAAATAAGCCTTTAATTAGCGCCTTTTAATATATTTTATTAATAATTTACTTATTAAAATCGAAATAAACGCTTCGAATTACGCTATTTTGAAAATCCTTTTAAAAATATTCAAATAATAAATAGTATTTAATAGCTTTTCAATCTAAGAAGTTTAAAGATATTAAACTTAATTAGGTATCTTAAATTAAAAATATATACTATTATAAAAGATTTTAAGACCTAGTAATATTATATAAAGAAATTTATAACTTTTATAAAGGTTTTAATTAATTATTAAAAATTTTATTTATTTATAAATTATACCCGTATTATGAAATAAGCGAGATAATATATACATTTCGCTTTTAATAGTTTTATTATTAAATACTAACTTAAAAGTAAAACTTAGCTAATAAGTTATTTAGAAAACTTAATTATTATAATAATATAATTCTTAACCCGGCCTCTAGTTATTACGATAATTTATTAAAAATAATTATTAATAAAAGTATAGCTGTTTTGTTATAGGGCCCGCTTACTTATTATTATTTTATTAATAACCTTTTAGGTTATATATTATAACTAACTTTTTAATTTTTTAATTTTCTAAAGAATAATTATATTACTATGAAGTATTATTATAAGAGGGAACTCGAGGTAAGTTAGAACGCTATTATATTAACTTAATAAACATAACTTAATATAAAAATAATAATTAATAAGTAAAATTTAGGTACTAAGTTTGTAAACTTAGTAATCTAGAGGTTATATAATTTATAAAAGATCTACTTAGTACTTAAAGTATAAATATATAAAAGCTTAGTGATTAATATTATAATATTACCCCCAAAAAAATAAAAAGCGCTATTTATAGTATTTAATTTTTATAATTATTTTTTATAAACTATTAAAACCTAACTAAACGTCTATCGTTTTTTTATTAATAAAACTTAGTACTTAGCTTTTTATAAATATTAATAAAATAAAAGTTAGTATTAATATAGTTCTAATTATTTAAGTATTAAATAGTAAAATTATTATAAGTTAAAGCCTATTTTTAAAGGGTTTATTATAAGCTTTATAAAATATTAATAATCTAGGTATTATTATTAACGTTTTTATATTACTATTATAAATAAAGAAGTACTAGCTTTACTAAGTATTTTTAATTATTATTACGGCTTAGGTATATTAATTCTTTATTATACTTTTTAATTATTATTTTTAAATCTTTATTTTAATTTAATTTTTAAACGGGGTACTAAATAATATAATCTTATAATTATTAAATATTAAAGTTTAAAAAATAATAAGGATATTATAATTATTAATATTAACTAAGTAATTATAATATAAATTATAAATCTTATTATTAATAAATAGTATTTTTAATAATAAATATAAGGCCTCTATTATATTAAAGGGCTTTAAAGTAATTAAACATATTTAGTATTAATAATAATAAATCGAAGTAGGCCGTAGTAGTTATAATTAATTACTAAAATAAAGAAATTCTTTATTAATTCTAGGATTAATTAAATTATTAGTAAAATATATAATATTATAAAAAAGTTAGCTTCTAAATAATAATTTTAGATTTATTAATAATAGCTTTTAATAGAGCTATAAAAAATTTCCTTAGGTATTTATATTTATTAATAAATTTACTATAATAAGGGTTATTACGGCGTTATTATTAACTTATAATAAAGCTAAGCTATTATTAGCTACTACTTTTATTTATAATAAAGAATTCTATAATAGTCCTATAGCTATAGGGTATTATTTATAAAAACTTATAGTACTATTAGTACGTAATAAAAGCTCTTAATATTATATTATATTAAATTATTATTATACCCTTTTAATTAGCTTAGTATTATATATTATAATTTATTATACTATACTTATAACTAAATTATTTATAAAATTTCATACTTAAGCTCGTTAGTATTATAATAAATTAATAATAAGAGGTCTTAATATTATTTAAATAAGGGATCCCTATAGCCTTTTATAATTTATTTAAATAAAAACTAAGTAAGCTTTATTTTTATAAATAGCTTTATAATTTATATGTTACCTAAGCTAGTACTTATAATAAGCTAGCTAACTTAGAGCTATTATAACTTATTAATATTATTAGTTTTTAATAAAATACGTTTATAAATACTTTATTATTAACTTTTAAATTATTAAGTTATTAATAATAATTAGTATATTTTTAATATCTTGCTTATATAACTTTTATATTACTTTTAATAATTTCCTAAGCTTTATAAATAACCTAAGCTATTTACTAAATTTTAATATAATTAAGCTTCTTTTAATTAAATTAAAATATTAAGTTCTAATAATTTAATTAAAAATAATTAAAATTAATAACTAAATTTAACTTAAAAGATAATAGCCTTATAATTTTATTAAATTAAGTTATATAAATAAAGTTTATTATAAGTAGTATATTACTCTAGTTATCTTAATAATAGTTAATCAAAACCTTAGTTATTTAAAAATATATTAATTTAAAATCTCAGTTTAATTATTTATTTATAAGTCGTTTATTATTAA